ACACACACACACACACACACACACACACACACACACACACACACACAGGTCAATGAGAGTCAATCTCCGCTTCCGCACTCAACCCTTTGCATGGATGCACACATGTAAATCACATAATTGTGTACAGTAGTTTGTTCTTCTTGGAGCAGAACTTCAAACACGCAGCAGGAGTGTGGAGGGACTGCAGGATTTATCTTTATATACTAACAGCACTTAGAGGACGAGGCAGACTCCTGTAGGCTGGTGGATGGAGCTCTGTGGCCGATTAGGTTTCTTTATACACACACATCCTCCTCCAGCTTCCATTAGTGCAGATTTATCTGGCAAGCAGGACTGTGGGGCTCTGCGTTGGCTGTGGATTTACATCACACTTGTCCGCTTTCTCCCCGCACACATCTGCCTTCTCACTTAGTTGAAGAAATTCTTACACGCTCGTCTGGTATCCTGAGACTCTGAACGGTGACACACACAAACTGTATTTCAGGCATGTTACGGTGCAAACGTGAGCCAACTGCTGATGCCGCAGTGGTGGGAATTGCAACGCTGCTTCACGGTTGTCCCGACGGTTTTAAGACTACAAATAAACAAACTTCTCACTCATCATTTTTAAAGGGCTGAGAGTCTGTCTGCAACTTGGACAGCATTATCTCAGGTGTGTGTGTGTGTGTGTGTGTGTGTGTGTGTGTGTGTGTGTGTGGCATCTGAGAGGATTAACACTGCAAAGACAACAAGAGGGAAATGTGTGGTGTTTTTTTTTCCTTTTTCAAAACTTCTCTATGCCAACCACTTTACTGGTCATCTCCATGACACGCCACTGGAATGCCAACGTCCACGCCTTCATCAAGATTACCCCACGACATGGAGCAATTTATATTTCTCACACACTCACACTCTCTCACACACACACACACACACACACACACCCTAAAGCTCTCCTTCAAAAACACACTCGGCCTTGAAAAGTGCTGCAGTCAGCAGAGGAAAGGTCGCCGGCATCTTTCGCTCTGTGCCGCCAACATGTGCAGTAATGTCTGTCATTAGCCGGCGGCCCGACTGATGCAGAGCGAGACCAGGGAGGAGGAGGAGACTGCAGACGGACATAAGGGCAAAAAGGAGATGAGTTAGACCTTTCAAAGAGCTGTGGTTTTAGGCTACTTGGATAGAAAATATGAGGAATATAATAGCAGAGAAATTGCAAAAAAATGTGCTTCAGTCTCACAAAGTGCAAACCAGTAGTTTAAAGGATGAAGTGAACTAATATAAAGTATGTTAACTTCCTCAATGGTAGCTACAACCCTGGGTTTGTTCCATGAGGGTCATTATTTTGCGTCTGCAACACTATTCAAGTGCACAAAAAAACAACACATGCTGCAGTGTTACAGATGTGGAGCGTTGTTGAATGACTTTGCCTCTGGGTCAACTCTAAAGGCCTCTTTTCTCTTGTGGATTTCAAGGTTAATTCACAACTTCCCAACGTTATAACTGCGGGGCTCCAAATAACCGATGGATTCTGCAAAGCAAAACAATAATATCTAAATGTTTAGTTGTGGCATTTGTGTGATAAAGCATCTTTACAGGCCTACTGGTCTCATTAAAAACAGAATCTACTCGTCAAAAACAGAAGTATCATCATCATTTAATGTGCAACTTCTGCAGCATTTCTTTAACCAGACTACAGCAAAATGTGCCTGAGGGTCAGCTTTACAAGCAAGCACTTGAGGACAAAAAACAAACAAGCTTCAACCAATTTGACAAGTGAGCTTTGAGCTGAAGTGTGATAACTGAGAGTGAAATGTCCCTGAGGGGGTGAACTCCACTCACTCTGTGTGTGCGTTGGAGAATTGTGAAAATGAGCTTCTCCTTCAGAACAACTCGAGGCTTAAGCCGCCGCCTGAGGCTCTGCTCTCAGTTATAGCGAGAAGAAGCAAGAGTGTGAATGCATGTGTGAGGGCGACTGAAACGAGGCACTCAGCCATGCCGGGTCCATCAGTGAACAAGCAGGGAGGTCCCCCTCACCCTCTGTCTGTGTGTGTGTGTGTGGACGAGCCGGGCTCAGAAACACAACCTGATCCAGGAGGCGAACAGTCCAGGTAGCACACAAGCTGACACGCAACGGCTCACTCGGGTCTGTTGCACAACAGCAACACGTCGCTGACCACGCCCCCCCTCACCTCTTCCTTCCACATGCATGACCCCAAACATGAGGGGTCACTCAAGACACTCATGCAGAAATACACAGGTTACACGACTGACCGGATGTCCATCAATCACCTGTTCTTTTAAATGAATGAAAAAGTGAGTAAAAGGTCAGTGGAGGTCCTGCAGGAGCAGCTTAAAGGCTCAGAAAGCCGACATTACAAGTTTGAGACTGGGAGTTTGAATACGTGGGGCATTTACCAGACAGAGAGGGTATAATGACAGACTGCATTGAGATGCATTATTGGAAATGTAGGATGCAGTGTTGTTGGAGTTTGACTCGTAACTTAAAGACAGGTTTTCTCGGCCTCTGCTGTTTTGACCATCTTTTTTTAAAAACCGTTCTCTTGCAAGTGCAGTGCTAAAATCGTTTAAGTGCTCCTTTAATGAACAGGGTTTGGGAAATGAGTCGATAAAAAAAAACATCTCGTAACCTGAGAAGATGTCTCAGGATTAAACGCAGAAACAGGGAGACAGTTTCTGGGAAGAGATGGTCCTGTTGAATCCTTTAAAAAGGTCATTCCAAAACCACAACTAGAGATAACATGGTTCATAACGTATACAGACTCCGTCAGCAACATGATGTCACAGGGAAGTGCCGATAAAAATCAACGGAGCTCTGCTGCGCCACAAAAAACATTTCACCATTTCTGCGATACCGACTTGACGCACACATGCAAACACTGAGTGTGTTTACCTTCTTACAGGGGAGCGGCCTTTCCTCGAGGTTTTTAATCGACCGCGGTGCCAACATGTGGACGGGAGGAAACGCTCATTGTGCGCCGGTGTAAACACACACGCACTCTTGAGATAAACTCGTAAAAACATGGGGAACCATAACGGAAAGGAGGTGGGATCTGAAAAACAGTTAATTGTGAAACTCTTGCTCAACACTTCTCCATTTCAATACTTTAAGCAACAAACATGGTGGCCAAGTGACGATGGGGCATGCTCAGCGCTTTGGTGTTTGTTGCGGCTGTGCGGAACATAAACAATGCTAAGTACTTGTGCGGAGAGTGGCAGCATGTGAGCAGGCCCAGACTGGAGCAAGGGAGGAGAGGAATAATAAAGGGAAGAGTGCTGCACTAAGCTGCTGATGTTCAAGTCTGCACTGGCTCTGCCATACCAACACCACCATTCAATAGAAACAAGACACACACAGGCACACGGAGCCTCCTAAACCCAAACACTGAAACCGATCACAAGCGCACGGGTGACAGCTGATGATGGATCGTGGTTTGTGCACGCATGCAACTTCTTTGTTGTCGTTTTATCTTTCAGGAGGCGCCATTGTTCAGGCAGCGAGGCTTTGCTAACAACTGGTCACATCCCAACAAGTCCTGGTGGGAGAGTCCCGCTAAAAGCATCTCTTTCTCTCATGCACACCATTGCTCTTTCAAGGGGAGTCACGGCCGGAAAATTACCAGAAGATGAGAAGAGATCCCGTCTTGTTCAGAAAGATCATGTACGAGATAACCGAGGTAGTCCAAAGGACTGAAATCAAATCAATGGTTTAGTCTTTAAAGCCCAGAGCGATGTCCCTGGTGGCCTCGGGGTCTGCTGCAATTTAAATATATGCAAACCTTGCATGCATTTTTTCTAATGATACGATTTCACTGAAAGTCAATATATGATAATTCTGAACTTTTCTCAAAAATGAAAACTGGATACACGCAACACATTCGTCGTACTCTCACTGCACACACACACATACCACAGCAGTGTTTGGCAACCCATTTCCTTCACATTGTCACAAGCAGCTGCCACACACTCAGACATCACACACCCCACCATCTTCACTCAGGTTGACAGTATTTGTCGTTTGGAGACTCCAGTCTGTTTTAAATCCGCTCTTTGTGTAATTACTCTCCATCTTATTATCATCATCATCATCATCATCATCATATGTGAGCATAAAGCCACTCTGCACACACACACACACACCTAATCTTGCTCAATCACAGCCGTTATGATAATTACCATGATGACTCGTCTTGTAATGGAGAAATGCTCACGTGACTCATGTTAATGTGTTTGTATTTCAGTTTTACCTCCCACATTTCGCAACCATCACCAAGACAAACATTCGTCATCCGACCTGAAATTATCAAGAAAATGTAGCTACAAGTCAATCGGACGTTCTCTGAGATAAGCACACAAACCAGGGTGTGCCCCGGCTAACAGAAACATTTATTTCTAAAAAGTATTAAAAGATGTTATTTGTTTGATCCCGGAAAAACACTCTACACAAGTGTTTTTCCCAAAACTGCTTTGAAACCAGTGAGAGCCTGCTGGTGTGGTAAACGTTGAGCAATTAGCAAAATGACTACAAGCCATCTGATAGGCAAACACTGATCCAAACATACAGGACTTCTACGAGAAGTCACAGACTGGGACGCTGTGGAAGCTTCTGAAAACACTGTTGTGAGATTTCCATGCCTCATGTAAATTGTGGAGAATTTAACGAGAACCAAATGTGATAAGAAGCCTGCGTTTCCTTATTCTTAGACAGCTGTGTTATCTGCATTAGCAAATACACAAATCCATTATCAGAACGGAAACAGCCGGAAAACGACACAGTAATCCAATTAGAAATCAATCCGACTTGTTTGGTAAAAAAAAACAAAAACGAATAAACTGCATCTGTGAGAAACGCACAGAATAAATATATAATGACTTCCTGCAGTTAAAGAACCGGTGAGTGATGATGCAATGTCTTTGTTGTTGAGGGGTTTCATTGCTTTCATGTTTTTAGGGTTTTAGAGTTTGAGGCTGACGGAGAAAGAAAGGACAAAAAACAGAAGCGGGAGTCTTGCACAAGGCCCCCTCCCCACACACACACACACACACACACACACACACACACACACACACACACTTTGAAGATTACTAAAACAGAAAAACGTTTTTTTCAGGTTACACCATTACACAATGGAGAGGTGAATGCAACCTCCTGTCTGCAACCTCCATTGATCTGCACCGAGGACTGCGCACACGCGCGCGCACACACACACACACCAGGAGGTCAGGAGCCTTTGTAGCCAAGTGCAGGACATCCATTTTCAAAGCCTCAACACAAGTAAATGCATCATTTTCATTTTAGCGACGGCTATATTCAATAGCAATTCAAACCAAACATACGAGAGTGTATTTCCTGCAGGACATTAAGGCCCTGAACTGAACCAGCATACGGGAACAATCGTTCAGTCAGTTTTTAATGAGACCGATAGCCGTGGAAACAACTTAGCATTTATACGGCGCTATCAAAAAGGGCAAGCTGATCCAAACCTAAGTGGCAATGTGACAAGCGAGCAGTAAACACGCTGACATTTGCATGCTCATTGGCCATTCAAAGGGCAAAGCTGAGGGAGTGACTTCATAGACCGAGTGGAGCACAAAGCAATAAGAGTGAAGTCACAACACAAAAAGACTGATTTAAAGAGGTGAGGGTCGACTCGGCCGTGCATTTTGAAGACTGGATTCTTCAGAGTTCTTGACTTCAAGTTGATGAAACGTCAATGTCTCAGTACTACCAGGCTTAAATATGGTAGCATGAATCACAGAGGTTGTGTTAGTGACTCCACAATGTACATTTTTATGTTTTTTTAACCTCTGCCGGTTACAGTGAATGTTTATCTACTCGTCGTGCCAAACATTTAGCCCATCCCACATGGGATTACAAGTAGCCTAAGTATTTCAGATCTCAGTCACACAAAGTAGCGCTGAAACAGTTCGTCGATTCACCTTTTAGCTGATGAACAGACAATCAATCTGCATCACTTTTGGTGGATTACTTGCGATTTTTCACGTGTGTAAATGTGGCTACTTGCACATGAGCACAATAAAACCAAAGAGTCACTCCTAGCAACTACCTTTACATGCAACGGGTGCTTTATAGGGAGTATTGTACTATTATTATTTTAAGGGCTGCAACTAATTATCCTCACACACTTGAGAAGCAGGAAACGGTAAATATTTACAATTAACTGACTTTCAAAACTGTTGATTCATGTCTGTCGATTGGCTAACCGATTAATAGTTTCAACACTTTGCATGACGTACTTCAGTACATTCATTTAAAAAAAGGTTGATACGTGTTCCGACTCATCTGTAGTAAACTTATGTTGGTGGACTAGTCACCAACATCACCACTGTGGTGTTCAGTGATCCTGCCTGACACAAAACATGTGTCAATGTAAGTTTGGTGGGCATATTGTTATGATCGAACAATGGTTTTAGTCACTTAGTCAAGCAAAAATGATTTTCTTCTTTCTCATGTATTAACTAAATATCTGAGTGTTGAACAGTCTGACAAAACTATTTTTAGACAAAATGATTAAAAGAGGAAATATTCGACACATTAATGGAGAATAAAAACCCCTATAATGCTCAAGATAAAGCAAGTTGAACAATTTCTTCCTTTAACGCATTCCGCATACCTAGAAATGTAATTAAAACTCGTGTTTTTCTTCATTATAAACAAACCTTATCATATAAGTTAAATTCCCAAACGGCAGTGTGAAACAGGGGGGTTGTTGTTGGTCTGAACAGAGATGGAGAGTATCGGGTTACCCACACGTGTGCCAGATCTACCTGTCCTGACCGGATCCACTTACACCCCAAAAACACCTGTTCATGTGGGTCACTGCACATGTGGCGAGGAGAGCCTCATTGGATGGCACAGTGAGGTGTACATTTCCACCATAACATCATACTTTCCCTCAAAAATATATAAAACAACCTCCATCACCAACTTCCTCCTGTGATTATTCAGCATCTTGGTATTTGGGTTAAGGATGCACTGGTTGCCATAGATACCACTAATCTTAAGCAAGTCAACAGCTCACTCACAGCTGTCACATAAAGTTTGGTTCAGTTCACTCTCTTGTCCAATCATCTTAAAATCAACAAAAAACAGACAAACTTTTTGTAATCAAGATGTTGTGCAACCATGGGGACCTGCAGGACGCGCACGCTAAACCTCGCGTGCGTCCTCAACAAGACGCCAAACATAACTTAAGGGAGTCATAAGACAGTTTCTCACCTTGAACACCTCGGAGAAAAACCCCGCGCCGATCTTCTCGCAGCTGAAGTCGTCTAGGCGGGCCAGGCTGGACACGGCGCTGCGCAGGGCCCGGTACGAGGACGGTCTGGTCCGGTTGGTTCCGTGGACGCTGTGCATGGGGGGCTCTGCCTCTCCCTCCTGCTCAGACTCGACCCTCTCCGTCTCCATCTTCATCTCGGACGCCCCGGGAAGAGGAGGAGGAGGAGGAGGAGAACGTGTGCGTAGTTTAAAACCCAGCCCGACTACTGTTTACATTTCCCATGTCCGCCACAAGGCCACGGCGCAGGGCTCCACGGAGGGGAGGAGTGATAAACTCTCGGTGGGGAAAACAAATGTCGCAGCTGCGGTCAGCGACCCGTTTGTCCCAATTCCTCCCGTTAAATTCCTGCACACCTCCGGGACAGGCTTGTTTCTGTCCGAGTCTACCAAACTACGCTGCTGCTGCAGGGCTGCATCCTGCAGAGTCGGTGCGCAGTTCTGGTGAAGTCCCTCGTGCCGTGCAGCAGAGGAGGCTGTGCCGTTTTCTAAACTGCGCAGGCTGCTGCTGCTGTCTTGGCAGCGGCGTCTCTTTTTCGGTTTCCTTAACTCTGCTCCTCCTGCAGTGGAAAAGGTCGGGGCTCCCCTTCCCGGTTCCACCAATTGAATCCCGGGTTTCCAGTGCCCACCGAGCAGCCTCAGTGACGCTGCAGCCTATTAAAGCTGAAGAGAGAGAGAGAGTGGAGAGAGGGGGCGGAAACAGGGGCGTTAATTCGCCAAATCATAAAGTGAGTGCATCATATGAGACTGATATGACACTAAAACTCCTGCTCGCACTGACTGAGCTACAAGAGTCTGGCAACAACACATGCTGATCACAAAAAGCGATCTGACGCACGCACAATGCTTGGAGGCGGCATTAGGCTCGTTTGCGCCTCTCAAATTGTGTTTTATCTGAATTACCATGAAGACGAACAGGATCGCATTTGCTCTCAATGAACGCATGATGCAAACAATGATGGGATTAAGAAGAAACCCGATTCCATTAGAGAGTTGATCGTACATGAGTTCGTTTGACGCGTTATCTGCTCGCAGATAACAGTCGTGGATGCAGCAAGATATCGCCTCAGCTTGTTTTTGCCTGTACTTTGCACGCGCGCACACACACACACACACAGGCGCGCTTTACTACTGACCCGATCACTCGGGCAGTATTGGTGGACGCACTAATGGTCGCTCGGTCACATTGGGGGTCTCTGAACACGCGCATGCCGCCTGCATGGAGCCTCCTGGTGCTCTGCAGGGACCAGCGTGTCGCGGAGATCCCCAGCCTGACTGCGGCTTGTAAATTATGGATGCCAAACTGTGCTGAGTTTGTGAGCTCGTCTATCACGGACTCAAGTCCCACAAGTCGCACATTTCAGCTTCATGATTCAAACTGGAGGAAAAAAAAAGAACCGCTGACGCACAACTGCACAGACAGGCGCGCGTGTCCTCCTGAGAAGGAGGATAGGACTTACCTGGCCTTCTTAAAACGTAACCTCCACATGTATGCGCCGGTGTCCTCTGCAGAGCCCCGAGCCCCGATCAGCCCGGTAACCAGAGCTTTATTTTTACTAATTAATCATCTTTGTGCGCAGCCTTCACACACGCACTCGCGGGCTTTAGTGGTTTCGGTTTACGTCCCCGCGCTGCCTGCCTCGCTGTGGGTTTGGTTGCATGTAGGAAGCGGAGCGGTGACTTTTGCTGTGCTTTATTGGAGGCGGCGAGGCGGGGCGGGTCCACACGTGATAACCGCAAAACATGCACCTGTGGGGGCGTTTGAGGCGGCTCAGTTCTCACCTTTAGGGGATGTCTGGCTTATCTCTATCAGAGATAAGCCATGTATGCGTCATAGTTCTGCCAAAGAATGGTGAGACTTTTAGGGACCGTTATACTGTGTATATATGTTATTATGATTATTATCATCATCATTACTACATGATGTGTTGATAAATAGTTCAGTAAACTGGGATTTATTCATTTGAAGGCTCCTAACTCCCCACCCGACTGTCAATAAACCTGCTGAGTGGACACTTTCCTGTTGAAATACTGTAAATTAGCTTTGACGGGAAACATTTAAGAAGTTATTAAGTTCAAAACAAATACATGCCATGTCCAGGTGGGATGTGTTGGTTGGTCCAAATTGGCCTGTAAAAAAAGTATAAATTATTAGTCAATAGCAATATACTTTATACAGACACTAGTTAACAATAAGCTATTGTAATGGATGTACTTAACTGCTTTCATTTTATGTATGTATTTATGTAGCTGCTGTTTTCAAACCCCAGGGTGCCAAAGAAGCAAATATAAAATGGAGATTTAGGTAACAAGACACTGGACCAGAATGAAATAAGTCAAACCCATTCCTGTACTACAAGCTTAAAGAAATAAAGACAATCCCAGTAAAACTCTCAGATGAAACTATGTTTTGTTTAGGGAGAGATACTCACTCAGAGGTGGTTATTTATGCTCTCGGCAGCTGATCATGAACATTGCGTGGGGAACCCAAAAGGTGCTGTGTGCCAAAGAGCCATAAAAAAGTGTGTCGTACAGCGTGAAGCCATCTCACACCTCACAGCCACATTCTCAGAGAGATGACACACCGTTAACACATTCAGCTGGAGGTGTGGAATGAGCTTTATGTCGTCCTTGCTGCTGTCTCTCACTGCATTATTTATCAATCAGTTGATTGGCTCTGCTCAAGCCAAAGGGAAAACACTAAACTCACACTATTGTTGCTGATAATAATATGTACAATTTATTATTTAGAGCTGTTGATCACTTATTCATCACACTGACTGTTATAGCTGTCAAAGTTTGGCTTCATTTGAGCATGCGTGTGTGACAGGAGATTATGTTGACTCCTGCTGACCTTTCAGACTGGTCTCAGGGTTAATTTATCACCCGGCAGGGGCTGTATATTGTTGGGCAGAGATTTTCCTCTGATGACTTTCTGTTGTCTTTATTGACTTACTGCTCAAATAACTAAACTATGTGTGAAGAGCAAACAACCAGACGGTCTAACCAAACTCTCCTAACTTTATGGCAAACGCTGAACAATGGCTAGTAGATAGTACTCCAGATATAATGTGGGCATTTCAATTTTAATTTAGTGTTTACTTTTTCTATGAATTGATATTTGTATCTGAAAGAATGTAAGCAAATAATCTTCCCTTCAGCCTCAGCTGTAATTTGTGTTTAGTGCTAATAACTAAATGTTAGCATGCTAAACCGCTAAACTAAGATGGCGAACATGGTAGCATTTAGCTATAACCATGGCTGAGCCTACAGATAACATTTTTTTTATATTTATTCCATTCAAACCAAACACTGACTCTAGACGTTTTCACGTTTTCGTGTCGGTAACCGTGGTCCTCCTACACGCTTGGCACATGGGAGAAGTTTTAGTTAGTTGCAATCTGCAACCTCACCACTAGATGCCGCCAAATACCACACACCGGGGACAGTGATGGGATTAAAATGATGCGTTGCCAATAAATCAAACCAAGCCAAAAACCCTCAAAGAAACCAATTCACACTATTAAAAGACCCAAATCAAAACCTGACGTCAACAGTCCTGTATTTGTCTTCTACCAACTGAAGGGCTGATTCGTATTTATCTCAGCCGTACATCTAGGAAATATTGCTAATAACTTTTTTCCCATCACAGTAAAAGTGGGCTTAAAATCAATGAGAGTCCATCTTCCTTCTGGTCTCACGAGGGACAAAAAAATGTATTTTAATGAGGCTGGCTCTCATTCAGATCCCCTGCTGAAAAGTTTGAACAACCCCCGGGCAGGAAGGGAATCAATAGCACGCCTGTTCAGATCCCCTTCACCAGACAGATCAATCCCTATACGGAGCACAATAGCAAATGTTGGACTGGAACTGATCCACGAGCTGTTAGTTACAGTGATTGAGAGGAAGCTCTGGTCAGGACCCCTGCTCTCGATACGGTGTACAATGTAAATAAAACATCAAGCCCCTCCTGCATCTGAAATTCCAATTCCCACCTCTACATCCAGGTCTGGACAGTAAAATCTATATCCTGAGCCTGCTGTGTCCCGATGGTGGCCCCGACTCATCTGTGGGTGCTAACGAACACACTCTCCCCCTGCTCGGCCCTAACAGGCAGCCAGGCGGGGGGCCAGGGGCCTTTATAATTGGTTTTTAGAGGACACCAGCTGTTTCATGTGCCTGCACGCCTGTCCCCAAAGGAGGAGCAGAGGGGTGAGCGGGGTGAGGGGGGGTGAGGTAGTGGAGTTGCCACATGGCCCGCCTCCCCATCCCAACCCCCCCTCCTCCTGTGCTGGATGAAAGACTACTGCTGAGTAGACGAGAAGAGGTGCTGCTGCATTATAAAGTACTTTGTTTTATTTATTTATTACCAGGAACAATAATTGTTGTATTAAAACATGTCTTAAACAGTAGATGGGAGTCAACTTGCATTACTAAGCAGCTAAACACCCCTTAAAAAAAAACGTATGAATCGTGATTTAAGGTGAAAAAATCCCATTAAAGTTTTACCTGCTTCGTCCACCCTGCAACTAATATTGTGGGTAAATCATTTTCACTAATGAAAAGGGTCACTGAGGCACACAGACAACCACAAAGACACACACACATGCAGTCAGCTTTTCAACCTCAAGGGACAGACATATCAGACTCCATTGGTCTCCAGGGCAGAGTGGAGGCGCCGGAAAGTGGATCCCATCCAAGTAAAGTAAATTACTGTCCACTCAGAGATGACTGGAACCAGAGGGGGGGGTTATCTCATTAGGAAAATGAAATGCCTGGATAATACTTTATGTGATCCGTTTGGTTGTGATTGTTTCCAAGGAGAACGGAGTTTGAAATTACCAGAGAGTCACAATCATGAGCTATAGGTAGATGGCATGTGACGTATATCCCGAGACAACAGAGGCAAGAAAAAAAAAAGATGTAAATCAATACAAAGGAGCCAGAAGCCATCCTCTGTTGTTCACTGACCCCGTATCAGTTTACCCTAAAGGCCTGCTTTCACAAAGGCTCTACGGTTCCCATAAAACACATGCTAAAGACACGACATAATCTCAAAATAACGGGCAGTTATGTGCAGTTACATTTGCTTTATGCACTTTTCCCAGACAGCAGCGTTTGTCCTGCAGAGATACAAACACCGCAAATTGTGTGTTTTTCCTCTGGTTTTCCCTCCTGTCTCAACATGCCCGGTAGCTTTCTGAGCCTCAGGTTTCACCTCACAGGTAAGGAATGATTTGTTTTTCTTGTCTTGGGTTGGAATTTGATATGTTTGTGTGATGTTTTTTTGGACTGGGCCCCCTCGAGGAGTATACATCTTTTTTACTCTGTGACCATCACTGTGTTTTGTCGACAGATGACGCTGTTTGTTTGCTAAAGTATTGCCTCTCAGCGACGTGTTAATGGGTTAATGGTAGGTTAATGTCTGTGAGCAAAAGGTCCTTTATTCCTTTGACAGAATATAAAGTGCACTCACCTCGTCCTGGTAGAAACTTCCTGCCTCTGAGCGTCATCTCTTAATCTCAAAACAGGCCGTGAAATTAGGTCCTTCCTGAAAAAAAGAGGATCAATAAATAGCTCAGCAGGGAGTTGCTGCCATTCTGTGGATAACACTGATTTCACATTTCTTATATTCAAAGCCCTAATTGGAAGTTGTCAACTAATAAGATGAATGCACAAACCTCCTCTCGTTACACAAACTTATCAGGCCAATTAAGCTGTTTTTTTAGACAGGAGCTATTATTTAACATATGAATACCATCAAGCTGCAGAATAATCTGCAGTGTAACTACAGCTGTCAGATAAATGTATTGGAGTGAGAAGTAGAGATTATTTATCACTAAAAATGTAGCTGAGTAGAAGTCAGGAGTAACATAACATGTAAATATTCAAGTGCAAGTACCTCAGATTTGTACTAAATGTACACATGTAAATCAGGGTCTTTTATTATCACAGTACAGGACAGCTGTAGAGAAATGAAGCAAAAGATACCAAATAGATAAAAGGCATCGGAAGCGGTTTTAAATAAAGTGTCACAAGCGTACAGCACACTATTTAAAAAGATAAGGTGTGTGCAGGGTGTTCATGGTGCAGTGTAACTCACTATGGATTCTCCACTAACCCACTGACCTGCATTGCAGAGGCAGTCTTTTTGTGTGTGCTACGTGCTCTGTTTGTTCAATGAGACATGAAGGCAGGGAACATGACAGCCTTTAGCAATGCTGCCCTCTAGTGGTGACAGATCATTACTTCACTGGAGCATATTCGATCTGTGCGGGACAAGAAATACTCCCTTCTGACATCAAAAGGCCCATTTCAGGATAGTAATATTATATTATTAGAAAAAAAATGAAGAGTAACGAATACATAAAAGTGTCAAATATTAAAAAGTACATGTCCCTCTATGGGTGTGGAGCGATGCCGGACTCTGCGCACCAGCTGGCAGGCTTCCAGCTGTGCAGAGCTCTCCGGTAAATCGAAGGGTGGAGGAATCTGTTTCTACTCCAACAGATGTGACAGCGCTTCTGCAGCACTGTTCTCCTGATGTGGCATCTTTCATAATAAACTGTACTGTACTGGTCGGTGTTTACATTCCACCGCAGGCCAACGTGCGCTCACCGACCACATGCAGTGTGTGGAGCGGGACCAACCAGGACTCTTTAGTTGTTGTCCCTGGTGAGTTTAACAAAGGAAACCTCAGCCATGAACTCCCCCAAATACGGACAGTTTGTTAAATGTTCAACCAGAGAGGCTGTGACGTCATACAGCTCTCAGCAAGTGGCTCTGCTTCTGTCTGGAGAGGCCTCAGACAGATCACGAGCTACAAGCCTAAATAATATACTTGTTTTAACGCACTGTTATCTGATTGTTTATTTACCATATTTTATTGCACGTATTAATATTTCTCTATTATTAAATTATGTCTTGATTATTGCACTGTGTTTATTGTTACGCACCATTCACTTGTCAGATTCCTTGTATGCGTCACGTACTTGGTAATAAACAGTTCTGATTCAGATTCTAATGAAGTAGAAGTAGCACAAAATGGAAATACTTCAGTAAAGTACAAATACCACAAATTGTACTGAAGTAAAATACTTGAGAAAATGCTGCTGCGGTTTGTTTGTTTGTATTTTGAATCTTTGATATCATTAATCTGAATATGGTAAGTAATTATTGTAACCAAAGCTGTCAATGTAATAGGGTAGAAGTATATAGTCCATAAAATGGAAGTATCTTATATATTATACTTAAGTAGTACTTGAGTAAACATTCTCAGTAACTTTTAATTGATGTAGATGATCAGAAGAAAACAGAACTGTACAGTTAAAGTAATACATATAATGTGAGGTTTTTAGTGGAGTTGAGCTGCAGTATATTATATATTATAATATTTCTTAAAATCCTGGGAAAAGAAATCAAGGCTTAAATTCAAGGGCATTTTCTGTGAAACTGTGAATTAGATTTTACATAATTTTGCAATAAATGGCCGCCTCAGCATGTTAATGACTTTGCAAAAAAGAGCTACTCACAAAACAAAACAAAATCTCTTGTTAACTCGGAGGCCGATATAGGTCATCATCAAGCTAGACAAAATAAAGGCTTTATTCCGGTCATTGTTTTCAAAATAAAAGCTCGTATCTGAAAGTCTTACTGTATCGCATACAAGTTTAGATTTAACTTGAAGGGTAATTCTGGATCCTCATAATAGTGATCAATAGTTGAATAAATACATGAAAATCTTGATTCAAGATTAACGTACTATGTTTTTCGGGCTCTTTTCAATCCATCTCATGGTCTTCTTCTAGTTCTACTGATGGAGATTGTGACAGTTTTTACACTGTAATTTAACAGTAAATATTGTTAACAATATAGAATACAAAGCAGCAATGCAATAAATATACGAGGCCTACTAAATACTGAATAATGATAGACCTATATAGCCAACATTGTGCAGGGTTTGCATTAAAATATATATATGTATATATATATATTTGTTTTTATTATAAATATTTCTTCGCTAGTGAAACATGTAAAGAAAAAACACTCATAATAGTACAGAGATTATTTAAAATTTTTAGATAGAAAAAAAAGAAGCAAAACGTGAACTTCCGGTTCTGCCCTCACTAACCTTTGTCAAAGTGATGTAGCAGGTTTGCTTATCAGCCGCCGTCAGCTGGGAGGAGTTCAGTCCGGCGTGTCCACAGCCGAGCGACCACCGAGCACCTCCGTCCTGCAAACATGGCACTGACCCGTCTGGAAAAGGCTCAGGTATGGCTCTCCAAGGCGCTCATGGGGGTCTTATACATGCTGTTTCGGCTTCTGTCCCCTCGTGGAGCAGAGGAGTCGTTGAAGAGGAAGCTGCCGGTCGTCATCAACCCTCTGCTCGTCGTGTCAGCGACGCAGCTCGCGAGGAAGATCCGGAGAAAAGAGGTGTGTACCCGGGTCAAACTACGAGACAAGCGCCGCTGGACGGGACGAGATTTAGCGAGATTAATTGGCTTATAAATGGTCTCTTAAAACATATAATTAGTCTGAAGATCTTGCCAGTATGATTATTTCATGTCTCACATTCCTGGAGCTTGTTTTTAGCCTTATTGCAGCCAATAAGACAGCCGCACCTGTGGAATAAGAACAAGTGTGGCTTATATAATACACATTATGAAGTGGACACAATGGTAACAGCTGCTCTATAATGTCCCTGCAGCAGTGTCTTTAGAAAGTTATCTGTAGGACCTAGTGTGCTTTAAACACAGTATGTTGGAGAGAGAGGACGGGTTAACCCACTATTTAATTAAGTTAATGACAGTAAGCTTAGAAAGAAAACAACCAGCACAATAATGTATAATGCGAAATGCAGCGCAGATGTACGGCCGCGCCTTAACATGTTAGCAGAGGAACACCAGTAGTAACATTATCACTATAAAGGGTCTTCTTTTCCTCTCTTGTCATGAGCTCACCTGGAGGAATCCACTGTAATGGTTGCATCTAATCCTGGCAGCATGTACAGCACCTGTATAGTCCAACTGTGGTGTTTCTGCAGGTGTCGAGTGTCCAGGTGGTGCGAGCTTACATTGACAGGATCCAGGAAGTCAACCCTTTTCTGAACGCCGTCACTAAAGACAGGCAAGACAGAACCGCTCCTCTGGGATCTGATACCTTTCATGTTTATTGTGCTATAGAGCTGCAACTTTTGAATACACAAGTTGCTCTTTTTTTCCTCACTATTGTAGGACGATGCATACACAAAAGACAATTAAACAATTAATCTAGAATCGGATAATAAAACAATAGTTTGTTCCAGCCATATTCTGCTCCCATGTTTCTTTTATTAATAAATATTCCTCTTTGTTTGGAGGTAAATTATCATTTATCTTTAACGTTTTACCTTTACCCCTCTACAAAATGTACTCCATCATCTGAAAAGTATATTTTTAATTAAATGGTAATAACTCTCATGGCAACACTCAAATTCTGCCACTTTAACAGCTTCCACTATGATGCGTAATCTTAAAATGAAGCCTTCTTTAAACAGTTATTAAACAGAATTGGGTGAAATAATCCTCCGCCCAGGTTCGACGCCGCCCTCCAGGAGGCGACGCAGGTCGACAAGCTGATTGAGGAGGAAACTGGAGGAGAGGAGGTGCTGGAGGATCGCCTGCCTTTACTGGGAGTCCCACTCTCTGTCAAAGAGTCCTTCGCCCTCCAGGGTAACTCCCACAAATCTAATCTCCTGTTACTTTACTTCACATACATCCAATCACGAGTATCATTTGAAACCGATGACATATACCGTTAGCTTTGTTGACTTTCTTTAGTTTTGATTTCCATCTCGCAGGTATGCCCTACACCGTAGGTTTGGTCTCCAGGAAAGGAGTCGTGGCCACCGTCGACGCTGCTCCGGTGGCCCAGCTGAAGCGAGCGGGTGCCATCCCGATGGGCGTCACCAACACCAGTGAGCTGTGCATGTGGTGGGAGTCCAACAACCACCTCTACGGCATCACCAACAACCCGTATGACTTCGAGAGGATAGCGGGAGGAAGTTCAGGTTAGAAAGTGTTCAACTAAACTGTGTGTTTAAGGATGCACCACTCGTCTAGGCAGGGTTAGGTCTGCTCTGCGCTGCTCCTCATAGTACAGCACACAGATCCACGTACTTACCTCTCCTCCCTCTCTGTTTGCGTCCTCTTTCCCCCGCCGGCCTCAGGTGGGGAGGGCAGCATACTGGGAGGAGCAGGCGCAGTCATTGGCATTGGCTCAGACATCGGCGGCAGCATCCGCATGCCCTGTTTCTTCAACGGAATATTTGGCCATAAAACCACACCTGGTAAGAGAAACCAAATGTGAAATGTATATAAATGCTGCTTAGTTGTACCTAAATGCTAACACTTGTGTTTACAGCTTGTTTCCGCTGCACCTTATCGTTTAAGGAACACATTACTACACCCTGTCTGTTGTGTGTCTGTAGGTGTCGTGTCTATTGAGAACCACTACCCTGCTTGCTCCGGCAGACAAGAAGAGTACTGCAGCAGTGGTCCCATGTGCCGCTACGCCGAGGACCTGCTGCCAATGCTGAGGATCATGGCGGGACCCAACGCTCACATGTAAGAGCTCTTTTAGAAAATATCAGTAACAGCTGTCAACAACTTGTCTGGCACACACACAGATCAAATGTCTGAGGTGCCACGTTTGTCTGATTGGCAGTATTTCTTCACACGTCTGTATTCAGGTTGTCCTTAGACACAAAGGTTGACCTAAAGAAGCTGCGGTTCTTCACCATCCCCCACGATGGCGGCTCTGCAGCAACGTACCCGGTCAGCAAAGAGCTCATAGAGATTCAGAGGAAGGTGCGTCTAATCCAGCTCTCTGTCTTTAGTCTGTAACAGGGAAGGTTTTCTCAAGAGTTAAAATCCTCCCGCGATGTTCTCCAGGTGGTGGAGCGCCTGGAGGCCGACCTCGGAGTGAACGTCCAAGAAGTGCGTTTCCCTGAGCTCCGCTACGGCTTCCAGATCTGGGACACCTACATGGGTCTTCCTGACAAGGAGGGCAAGGTAGGTCCTCCTCATCCAGTCAGTCATCCAGTGTTGTGTGTATTAGCTGTGCGCTACAGTTTGCAGTCACTAATGCAGGTTAGTGTCACCAGCCTGAACCACATGTCTGTTGTTGGTAGCACGATAGCCGCAGCGCTGCTTTATGTGACTTTAGAAAGACAACATAACCAAGTGTAAAATGTAACTCAGCCTCCGCAGCTGTTCGCTGAGCTGATGGGGGAACCAGGACAACCCGCGTGGCCCGTTTGGGAGCTGCTGAAATGGACGATGGGAAAATCAGAGCATACCTTAGCTGCTATCGGTAAGAGGGGGGGGGGAATATATCATTTATTTTAACTTTGATCAATTAGGTTTCCTTTACTGAAGTCTGAAACCACCGTCATTAGACACATTTTAAACAATAGTGTACTTGTTTGTCTCTGTATAACTAATGAGATATTTAGATGTCTTAAATATGCAGCTGCACAAGTTTCTGTGTGTGTGTGTGTGTGTGTTCAGGTTTGGCCCTGATGGAGATGCTCCGCGTTACCAAACCCTCCGCCTTCCTCATGCAGCAGAAGGAGAAGCTGCAGAAGGAGATGGACGAGCTGCTGGGCACCGACGGGGTTTTTCTTTACCCGTCTCACCCCAGGGTGGCTCCCAAACACCACCACCCGTTCTTCAGGCTCAGTGACTGCGCCTACACAGGTCAGTCCTCGTCAGAGTTCAACAGGCCGTCCTCCAGTGTTCAGTGCAGCTGTGAAAGAAAGTGCTTCAGTCTTATTTTCCTTCCTTACCTCCAGCTATAATCAACACCCTCGGGCTGCCGGTCACCCAGTGCCCTCTGGGTCTGGGCGAGGAGGGTCTGCCCCTGGGGGTGCAGGTCGGTGCCGGGAAGCTGCAGGACCGCCTGACCCTGGAGGTGGCTCTCTACCTGGAGAAGGCGTTCGGAGGCTGGAGGGACCCCGGGGCCAACTAAAAAAACAACCACCATCACCAAACACTCATATGCCGACAGCCATTACCAAACCTCCAGACCGGAGCCAGTTGGGACTGAGGATTGTGGTAATCTGTTACCTGCCTGGCTGCTTGCCGTAGTACACAAAGAGGCACAATCAGATTGCTGTTTATAATTTACTCTGTTCAGAGAAGACTGCATCATGAGCACAAGCTTTAAAGAAAAGATTTTATATATAAGTGGAAATTGAGCGTAGACATCAACACAAAACAAGGCTTTTTGTGACTGAATATCATCAATCTCACATCTTAATATGGTGCTAGTGACTGTCAACTGATCCTGTTGTTCTAACTAGACGTCCGCTCAGTGGAGCTGATGTTTACCCGACTCCACAGACACTAATCTAGAGATCAAGTGTGGTCAGAATAATGAAACACCTGTGTAGCTGTGGAGGGTTTAACTAAGCAGGAACAACAGTAGACAGACGGTGGAAAATGTTTCAACACGCCGACACAACCCTCGTGTTTTAATGTGAACGCTGCAGAACGGCAGTTAAACAGTGGAGTCTGCTTTGTTTCATTTCATTAAAAAAAAGGTGTGAATACTTTCTCTCATGAATTCTTGTAACAAAACTATCTATGCAGCAGGTCAGGACGACACACGGTTCTGTTTTTGGAGGAAATGGAAAAATACGACCTGGCTATTGTTTAACTACAGACTAAAGTTAAACCAGTTGTCACTAAACAGTGTGAGAGCGTGAGAGTGTGTGTGTGTGTGTGTGTGTGAAGGGGAGGGAAAAGGCACACAAACAGGAAATACAGATAAAACCCCTAAAAGACAGAAACATCTCACTGGAATCTGTTGTCACTTTATTTTCTTCGCTTCTTTGGGAAAAAAAAAAAAAATAAAATAAAAAAGGATGAAAACATCCACCAGAAGGCTCCAAACAGAACTTGTCAGCATTGATAACTCAGCTCTTCTTCTTCTTCTTTATTTTCTGGTCAACTCTACGTTGACATTATTGTTCTTTTTGTTAATGTCACAAACCTGTTCTGAAGGGTAGAAGATATACTGCGAATGTGACGTTCATACAGAAATCTACAGACAGCCCGTCTTCTCTTTAGACATGCTCGTAGCTCGAGCGCACAAATGCTAGAAGGTGCCTGCCGTGAGAGTAACTCCTCTGATCGGACTCGTATGAATCTCTGACCACAGCGTTACTCGGGGGCCGGAGGTGACCTAAAAACTGAAACAACAAAAAAGGGAAACAACCGAACAGAAAGTACAGAACTATTCTTCAAAGACTCCTGCAGTTTGGCGGTGCAGGAACAGGGAGGATCGTTCTCTCCTTGACGACTTCTCGACCGCCGGGTGCTCGATTTGGCCCAAATGTGAATGCAAATACTTGTAAGCGTGTAAACATGGTTTCTTTGAAGTGGATAAGAAATTGTGTGTGTGTGTGTGTGTGTGTGAGAGATTCATTCTTTGAGAAAGTGAAGCGCCTCAGGAGGTGTTGGTGATGGGTTTGTATTTCTTGAGGCGGGTCCACTGTCCCGTGGAGTAGTTCATTTCGAAGACGGTGTCCACCAGCATGGTGGTGCTGCCGGTGCCGTCGGCTTTGGGCAGGACCTCCGTGTGCTCGCTCAGCTTGATCTGGATGATGTCCCCCTGCTCCGGGCACGGGTTCTCTGCAAGACAGGATGCGGTTGTTATTGGGCCGACCGGGTTTGTGCTCAGGGACCATCGGGGACACCTCCTTTAATTATACGACTGTGTTGAGTATTTATGCTAATGGTTATTTAAATTAAATTATTGAACTCCTTGACAGACTGCTTGAATGCTGGGAATTTAGATACCTGCATTTCCTACGGTTATTGCCCCTGGTGAACAAACCGATAGTTAACCGTTAACCTGGAGGATTAGTGTGTTGCGTGCAGGGGGATGTGGTTGTAACGCCTGACAAGCTGTCCAAACACACCGACAATCGATGCACAAACAGATTAAACCCACATCTACGACACAACCTGACCTGCTGTTTAAAGTGAACGCGGTTAGCTCAGGCTCACTCAAGGTGGACTGAACTTTAAGGTGGGCCAGTGCCGACTAGCTGCTCCTGAGTTTCGCTCAGTTTTTCTTCATTTTCAAGATTTCTCGGTTAAACGGTTAATTATTAACGTCCCTAGGGACAAAATAGATTACTTATGCGTGCATATTTTGACAATCAGTCAGATCAGGTTTACTGGGACAGAAAAAGGCGTTTCTTCTTCTAGTGAGATTCCTGCTGTACCTCTGGATCCAGCCATGAAGCCCAGGATCAGGGCCTTCTCTGGTCTGGTGACCTTGTTGGCCGTCTTGAACATCTCCTGGGCCGCGTACATCTGGTCTCTCTGAGGAGCAGAAACAGCGGCACAGAATTTAGCTGGCTGAGAGGACCACTGAGGAGCTTACATACAGATTCAGTAATACTGAGGAGGAGCTTAAACGCTCTCTGTTTCCATCTTACCGTGAGTGACAGATTCTTTTTGGGCTGGGCCTGTGGCGGCATAGGGGTGGGTGTCGTGGTGGGGGTCTGAGGTGTGCTGGGAGGCTGGGTGGGGGTCTCCGGCTGGCTGGCCGTCGCAGCTGCTGGGGGCCCGTTGGTGGCCGGGGTGGAGACCGGCGTGCTGGGGGACGTGGGGGTTGCGGGGTTGGCCGTGTTGCCTGCGTTGTACATGGGCGTTCTCTGTTTGTACTGGCCCGGTAAGGTGGCGGTGGCGCCGGCGCCCGCCGTCGCCGACTCCTCCGGTTGGCGAGCCGACTGCAGCGTGTCCCGTCCAGAACCACCGGCGTTGGCTTCAGAGGAGGTTGGTGAAGAAAAGACATTGTGAGTTTGACATGAGGCTCTGCTGACGTTCTCTCTGCCTGCTTGAACTAATAAGTGCATGAAAGCATTTAGCCCTGGCTGCATGCTAGCCAACAATACAAAGCTTTGTGGTTTTGTCTAACCTGGCTGGGCCTCGGAGCTGGGAATGTAAGAGGAGGAGGGGACCATGCTGGGTGTGGCGGGGAGGTAGCTCGTCGACGGCAGAGGATTCTCGTTCAACGCCCCGAGTTTCTGAAAAACCAAAACAGCATTTGTTACGATAGACCCAGAGAGAAGCCGAGTGGGACAGCGAGAGAGGGCGATATGAGAGGAAACAGGAGAAATCCAGGACGTTTGAGCGACGTTAACAACGTGGAGTCAAGCACCTGTGCAGAGACGAGGCCGGCGGCGTAGTCGGGTGTTGTGTTTTCCACCACCGCTGCTGCTGCCGCTTCTTCTTTGGCTGCTTTCTCGACAGCCTCCGTTTCTAAAGCAGAAGAAAACATTAACACACACTCATACATTTCATGGTGGAGCTCTAACACTTGGGTGGATGGAAATGTAATTACCCAAAGTCTTTCTTCTCCTCTTAGCCTCTCTTCCAGCTCCGACCATATCCAGCTCAGAAATATCTAAAAGCTGAAAAGGACAACAAAAAGAAAAATTCAAACCACAAGCACATCAATTATATAAATAACTGTGAAATTGTTTTTTAAAATCTGACATTACCTTGACTCCCCTCTCTTTACGCAGGGGCGTCCGTGCTGGGGCGATAGGCGTGCGGTTACTGGGGGGGCTGAATATACTGGGGGCAGTGGGACTGCGGAACGGGGCCTTGGGAATCCCCTTGAGAGGAGCTGTGATGCAAATATTGACACGCATATCAGCAATGGTGACACAAGTCAGAATACAAGGTTTCCTGGCCACAGCTGGAACAAGTGATGTTTATGAAGGTACTTATTAAAAGCACTGAAAGAGCAGATGTGTGGGATGCATTTGTAGATATTTAACTCACTAGTAGTGTCAATCTTTTTGACCAATCCTCTCCCTTTGGCATGAAAAGGCACTCCGGCTGTCTTTTTTAGCTGTTGGGCTGTCTCTGTGGCTGGAAAAGAAAAGATAAAAAAATAATGCACCATTGAAGATTCTTGAATTTGAGGGGAAATGGGAGAGTAAAACTTTTGTAATAATTGAAGTTTCTAGTAACTTACATTTCTGCAGCAGCTCTGCTCTGAGGGTTGCACTCTTGGGCTTCCTCTTCAGCTGGAAATGTTTGACGGGGGGTGTGAGGGGTCCCACCAGAGTGGTTAACGCACTCTTGTTCAGGTACTGGCACTCCAGAGGAAGCATGGCAGAGGCCTCGCACTCGCCCACTGAGGAAGGGAAGAGATTAACCGGCTATTTACCACAGGACAGATTACTACAGAGTAAGTCATATGGTCTGTGGTTGCTTTAACACTCACTTCACAACCCGACATGCATACATTTAATGTGAGGGAAATTTTTTTGTGGATATGCTGATATGCACCACAGTGACACATTCCCCTACCTTTCTCCCTGAGCTCTCCAAGAATATCCTGCACATTTGGATTCTGCTCCTCCAGGTCCAGATTGAGAGAGCCGGTCTCTGGGAAGGACTTGAGGATGTCGGCAACCATCAGCACCCACGGCTCTGAATCCACCGTAGCCAGCTGGATGATCTCCGACAGGGCCTCCTTCATCTGGGGAGAGACGACGACGACGGTGTTAGTGAAACCACTTTAAGAGAAGAATGCCTTATGCTGCCTGAGAACAACTTATTACTGTTTAACTAACTATGTTTGTCCCATTTGCTTCTTTTCTTTTAATATTTTTCATCTTTAGGTTCAGTTGTTTGCAATTTGAAGGTGTTACCTTCATCTCTGTGATGGACATTTAAGGTTTAATAGTGAAGAGACTAATTAGCAGAATAATAAACAATGAAAACAACTATTTGTTGCTGCCCTAATGTCAAGTAGTTTAAATTAGCTCCACTTTGAGCAGCTACAACACAGTAAATAATCAGTAATACATAAAATAATATATAACTTTTATCTTTATTATTATTATACATACATTTCTGTGTAACACTGCAGAGCTTTTACTTGTAATTACGAGGTTCTACTGCTTTAACTAATTACAGACTAATAACATCTCAGAGCAGATACTCTTGAAGAGGCATGTCTTTTGTTTGTTTATAACAAACTGAATATGCATGAATATCAAGATAAGATAATCCTGATATCTACATACAGAGTAATTGTTGTGTTGCACAGTGTATTTATATTGCACAGATGTTGTGTGGTCTACTGGGAGCAGTTGTGCATTATGACGGGTTTCAGATATGATGGTACCGCCCTCCAGCTCAGTCAGCTAGCTCTGCTGTGCCCATCCCACCATGTCTGCGGGAGAACCTAGAGGCTAATGTTTCCCGGTGTACACCACCGTCTGTGTGTTAATGTCGAGTAGTTAGTCGTGTAGCTACATATATATATATGTTAATCGTATAGATGCTGATCTCCAGAAACCGAGGTAAAAAAAAAGTCAGAACCAGTCGCAGGAATAAGAGCGGCTTTGTGTTTCTTGTATTTGAGGTATTAGCCTTCTTTAGCTGTCGTGCTAACAGCTAAGCTAACCCACCTCGTCAACGGTCCGCCGGGGGAGATGCAGCATCCCGAGCAGCAGCTTCAGCTTCACCGGCGGCGATAAGCTGGAGAAGCACAGCCGTATGTTGTCTATCACCGACACGGTGAGGAGGGAAGCGATGCTGGGAGGCGTCCACAGCTCGTCCGTGGATCCCAATTTGTTGTGAAGCCACAGTCCCGTGTCGCTGTCCTTCATCGACGCCATCTTGGAAAAAGAAGAGTTTTTTAGTTCGGGCATTTTAACGGGCTACCTAAAGACAACAGTCAGGACCCCGCCCAGTACGCAGAAGGTCGGGGTCATTTGAAAAAATTGAACCATAATAAAATGAAAAAAAAAAAAAAAAAAAAAAATAGGTATAATTCACATTTGATGTTTTGTTTGTCCATATGTTGTATGTTTTTTTTTTAATAAAGTGAAAGAAGGGTGAATTTTACTTTACAAATGTAACTGTGTGGGTAAATTAACTGACAAAATCAAAGTACAGCACTTAATTAAATGTACTTATTTACTTCCCACATTTGATAATAAGCTGGTTACAAATCCATACAGTCCGTTGTAGTTTCACTTTTGCCAAGGCCTTTATTTTGAACGTTTAAACCGGAAGTCTTGACTCTGGTCCCCGAAGGCAAATATTACACGAGCCACACGCATGCGCACTGCCTTACACTACATTAAACAATCCTAGGTGGGCATCTTGCGCTGATCTGCGCGTACGGCAAAATATCATCGACCGATTCACGGTAGGTTGACATGCAGCTTGTAAATTAAACAATAATTCTGCTCCTTAAATATTATTTGTAAATTAAATACATATATTTAACAATAAAAACAGGAGTGTTTTCTGAACAAAGCCTGTGGGATTCTGTTATTCCTTTAAATTTGCGGTCGACTAGGACATTTTTCCGTTGTGTTTAAACACACATCCGCACATTTTGTTTCTAATTCCTAAAAGGTAATTGACCGCATCTCCACCATGGCGTCCGGTGGATATCTCCAGACAGCGGTGCTCCTTCTGGCGGTGCAGCTCCTCTGTCTCCGTGCAGCTGATGCGGATCAGGACGCTGGGACTGTCATCCCTGCAGAAAGTAGGTGGATTTAAATGTGACATTTGGATATTTATTTTGCATGTTCAGTGCAGGTTTTGTTCTGCCACAGAGATGTGTTCCTAGTCTAATGATAGCAGGTCCCCACAGAGATAGTGGAAATTGTAGGTCACCCTAACTGGTGTATGCATCACAACATGAAAATGGGCCCGCTCTGCTGCTGTGCGACCCATTTTATCATCTCCACTGGGTTCAAACAATGTAAAGGAGTAAAGGACAAATCCGTATGATTTGGTATTGCAGCCACCATTGGTGATAATTGGATATTTGACCCTTTTGTCATGAGAAAAAAAAGCCCTGGGACAGTTTTATTTACTTTTATCAAGATGGAAATATGACATATTAGTAGATCTCCCTAGTTCAAATGAATACAAATCTACATAAATAGCTCCTTAAAGCAAGACTTTGCACATTTAAAAAAAAGAGAAATGACACAATAATGCGTTTACAAATTAAAGCAACGTATTCAACATGTCACTGACTTAATGCCCTGATGTGAGTGTCTTTATTTCTGAGTTCTTTCCTCTTTATTTCCAGGTCGCCCATGCGTGGACTGTCATGCATTTGAGTTTATGCAGAGGGCACTGCAAGATCTAAAGAAGACCGCGTTCAACCTCGATGCCAGGGTAGGCGACGTCTTCTTCTCCTTCTCATGGTTCAGTTGGAGAGATTTTTCACCTCCAATGCTTTACGTGTTAAACGCTTATGATTCACCAGCCGACGAGTGTTTCACAGAACAATACGTTAATGATCATTGGTTTTTAAGGTGATGGCTGGTTATTGGAGTCGTTTTACATACATGGTATTTAATGTGATCTTATGTGGGAGGTTTCACAAGGAAATATTAACAAGTATAAAAAGTGTTATTGTCTTTATTTATATAAATATATCTAGCAAATAATAAATTCAACTTTCCATAATATTGTTAGTATACCAAAAAAAGCAACATAAGTGTCTCCATTGTCATGGACTAACCCACTAATCGTGATAGAAATTTATTTCCTAAATAGAGACCTGATACTTTGTTGATGAATATTATTACATTAAAAAAATGTAGTTTCAATGTCAACAATGCACCCTTAAAGTCAATAAATAATGTTTTATTGCTGTCTTTACCACTAAGAGCACTGTATTTTACTGCATCATCTTTCACTGACGATCAGATTTGAATTATCTGCAAATAAATAATTGTATTACCCCAAAAAAGCAGCCTTGAGTAGTGTCTGCTGTGTTACTTGTGAGCAGCTTGTAAGCACCAGAGAGGTTCAGGTTAACCTTACGATCATCTCAGACGTAGTTTATTGGTCTTTTAGTCAATGAATCAAACTGAAACTGTAAAAGAGACTGAAAAGTAGAAACTACAGCGTTGAGTTGAGCTTGTGTTTGCATGCAGTGACATGTTGTTGTTGTTGCAGACGGAGACGCTGGTGCTGAGGGCCGAGAGGAGGGCTCTGTGTGACTGTATGCCCACCAACTCACTGCGCTGATCACACCCCGACACAGAACCCCGATCCAAAGCTCTACTCGTGTGCAGCGATTGTCATCTTAACTTATTCACGCAATAGGCACTTTATTTTACTTTCTCTCATATCACTGCTGAGTGACGCTTTGGTTTGAAGTCATGCATCAGATGATTGTTGTTTTAGCCTTATTCGGGACGACTTTTATACCACTGATGTTTGATTGTTTTCATCGCCGCGGGGAGTCGGGTCACTTCTCATCCGTCTCCTATTTTAAGCATAAACTATTTTTTGTACTTTTTAGTATTTGACTGTATAATGTAGATACAGTAGAATGCATCGATACATGTCCTGGTTGTATGAGATTAATGTTTACAACGATTACACACATCAAACTGTAGCATCACATGGGATTTATGTACCTGCTCAAAATATTTCAATAACTGTTTTTAAATAGTTTAACTGATTTTCAGGCTTCTTTTCCCCCCAAAAAAAGAAAAAAAAGCGTTGGGTAACTTATTAAAGAAAGTTATTTTCTTTGTGATAACCGTAAAGATTTTGTTTTTGTAAACAAATCAGCAGAAAGAAATTCAAACAATATTTTAAAAGTTTTCTTTTAAGGCGGATAAAGCATACGTGTAGATCTTGATTTAGCGCAGCACTGTAGCATGAATTTACAGCACTTTTTGTTCACCTACTGTTAATGTAGATTGTATGTATAGATTCTGTAAATGTACGCAGGTCTTATCTGTCTGACGGAGGCGTATGCAAGAAGATAGATGAACGATTTAGTATCGAATGAGCCGAAGGGGGAACAGAGGAATGCTGGCTGCAGCAGGGGACATAGAGAGAGAAATAAGAATCGTCTTATTGTTGCTCGTTCATCAACAGTGTTCTTTGTTAACAATATGTCACACAACACCCCAAACTATTGTCTTAATGTTGTACCTATCAATAAAAACAATGAATGATCTGCACTGTTGTTATTTATTTCTCTGGCTGGGATCATTCTCACAGATCAGGGTTTGTGTGAACGTCAATACGGACGCAAATTAATAAATTCATTCAGTGTTTACGTCGGTCTGCTGGATCTCACAGCTTAAATTACCGGTGTAGCAGCTACAGATTAATTTGCATATTCTTCTTGATTCATCCATTTAATTGCTTGTTCCATAAAATAGATAAACAGTCTAAAACCCAAAGATATTTAGTTTAATGTTTAATTAAATAGTTGTCGCTTAATTTTCTGTTAAATGTCTCCAGCTCTACTTCTTTCATTCACTGTTATGAATCTTATTTTCCCGTGTGTTATCAATGATAATATTACGACCTGCGTCCATACACACAAACACAATTTATTAAAACCATATAACTGTCACATTGACATTTTTCTCTGTCTTGACATTCGATACTAAAAGATTCATCCAATAAACTAATCTGACGGATTAATTGACGAGGAAAACAACACCTTAGTACACTAAAAGTGTTATTTAAAGAGTTCACAATCAATTTGGGAATGAAAGCAGGTTATGTACTCAAATAGTAGGGCTCCTCTTCTGTTAATATTTGTCACAGATGATGTGTAATGTGTGTCCAACACTCTGTAAGAGCAACACCTTGAATAACACCGTTCATTTATTGAAGGAGCTCGCCTGCAGAGTGTGTGTGTGCGCTGCAAGTCACTTAAGTGATGCTTCAAGATCTTGCTGTTTTAGCTGACCTCATCCCCTTCCACACACACACAGCTTTTATTTATTTACAACAGGGATTACAGCATGGGGGGGGGGGGGGATAAAAAAACCTGCAATACCCGTATCTACACCAGCAGGAGGAGCTCAAAGTAAAGGCATGCCGCCAGCTGTGTCGCAGCAATGCAGCACTCTCCACACTCCTAACTTCCCCCATGGCTGTAAATGCAAATGGGGTGAAATACTGTACGAAAGCTGAGGCACTACATTGGCCGCTGAAGCGCCTGCAGTGACCTGGCAGGGATCTCAGCCCGAGGCACCACCGTGTACTGCCAGAGCTAGAGAGGCAAAGCCCCTCATACTGCACCGCAGTGCACAAGCAACCTGATTACACGGGACACTACAGTACCGTTGCTGAGGCAGCTTTAACCCTACAAGACTTCTACTGGTTTTAAGGAGCAACGAAGAGGGTTGAGTATGCCGGGACACCAAGTATACGCTGAATCACTCTGAAGAATCCTTGTTGTCAAGCAGCCTCCACTTTCTTCCTCCCTCACTCCATCTCCCACCCACCCACCCACTCACTCACTCACTCGCTCGCTCGCTGGCTCCTTCTCTCTACGGACGCCTTTCCACTTTCCTTTCATCTGCTCCTGGAGAAGCTCACTGAATCGTTCCAGCTGTTTGAAATTCTCTGGTGGAGGGCAAACGAGCAAAATCCTCAATATTTTCTTCCCCTTTTATCTCACTTTGACAGTTGCCGCTAAAGTTTGCTCGCCTCACCCGACTGTGGGACTTATTTGGCAGCGCAGAAGGCAAGCTCCCCCAAGCCATTTGTACAATATTTTGAGTTTTAGTTAACTATTTGACCTCTTCATGAGGACCTTTAATGAACTGAACTGTTTATTGATGACCTTTAGCCAACTATTTGTCCTTTACCTGTACTTCAACCAATTAGCCAACTCTTTTGAACAGTTTAGACTTCTCTGTATGCTTGTTTCTGACCTCAAAGTGAAGAGCAGAGCAGATGGGGATGGAGCCGGCTATGTGAGACCAACATACTGATGGCTCAAGTAACATCCATTTTGGGATAATGTCTAGATGGTCACCCGAGACTCGATGCCAGACGTCCTATGTCGACCGTAACAGCTTGAGGTCAATGCCTAACCTTAACCAACCTGCGGGAGTTTTGCAAAATCAAGGGCCGCCATCTAGACCTGCATTTTCTCAGACATCTTGATATTGTCCGATATTAGTGGACCTCAGATCCTGAGCTCTGGTTATTTCTTTCAGTCAAGATATTTAGATTTTGCTGCCAGCAGACTGATTCACGGACCGTCTTTTGGTCTGTGAAGGAAAACAAACGTAAAGTACGAGCAAATAACGCAAATTGTAGCAGAGATTAGCCTTAACATGGTCGGTCATCGCAAAACAACCATAACGAGATGCTAAAAAAAACAAAGACTAGCAGCTGGTGTGAGATGAAACTGTGAAAGAAATAAAGCTGTTCACCAGCTGGTGACGCCTCTGATGAGGAAATAACACTAAAACAAACCCCACATGATTCAGTCACCACTGGATTGATGATTAGATCAACACGTCGGCCTGGGAGATGTCCACTATCAGGAATTAATGGGAGGCCAGAACCGCCTGACGCGCATGTTAATTCATGCACTTACCGGTATATGATTCAGGAATTGTCAAAATCTTACTCAATCCCCTGCAGAGTTTGAGGAACTTCTTGAGCTGTGAATATTCTCAGTCTTCTTCATATATGTATTAACAAAGCACTCGTACTGAGTCTTAAACGCGTCTCATTGCAGTTACACAAACATCTGGAGTCACAGTTAATATTCTGGTATTGTTTTAAATATGTCCTGATAATTTAAACTCTGTGTGTGAGAGACACACACACTTAAAAGTAGCGTAAACGCTTTTATTCAGTGCATCTTGGTGTCGATGCCCTGCAGCTCCAGACTGGCGCTGTTTAGTGGGAGGCAACAAGAGGACGCTAGATAATTTGCCAATGTTAGCAGGGCAACATGAATAAGTGATGCATAATAATACGTTCATTATACATATGAATATATTCCAGCTGGTCCACTATAGATAACTGATTACATGTTAGAGAACACATGACCACTGATACAGAAACAAATGTACCCAAAAGAGACACAGAGAGAATTTAGAAATACATACAAATAAATTAAATGTAATATTTCTAAATACATATTTGATCTTATGTATAGAGGTTCAAAGTGAATTTATTCAAAGATAAAGTTTTGGGGGGAAACTGGCCTGTGTGGGGGTGTTTTGATCAGCGCTCTTCCGTGTGTAAAACCACAGCAGTCTCGCCTCAACGCTCAGGGCGAAGAGGTGAACTGTGTTTCTTTTAGTTTAGTGCTTCTGCAGAAGTCATTATTACTTATTATTACTAATGAAACTTCTGCTGCTACTTCTTTTAGTGCATCTATAACTGGTTGTAAACAGCTGTTCATAAAGCCTTTAACTGGTTGTATTGCTTTGTGAACACACCACTTTGGCAAATCTCTTTTTGGATCAGTCACTAAAAAATCCCTTCCTTTATTATCACAGTATTAAAGGAAGTCTGTGCCAGATAGTAACAGTAGTGGTGCCTAAAACTATTCCACATATTGTGTTTTTATGTTTCCTGTATCTAAACTCTGTGTAAACTCTGAGTTAAACCTCCTTTCCCACCCTAAGGGCAAGTAACTCCTCATCCCTCAACAACAGGCCGTATTCATGAGACGTCTTGATGCTGACATCATCCATCGCAACGAGGTCAAAGGGAGTTCCTTCCATTAGTCAGGGTTGCTGCTTCATGTGTGGGTCTTGAGAGAAAAATGATTAACCGTGAACTAGAGAGCCTTTTGGTGGAATAAGTGGTGGTAGAAAAACACCTCATGAATATGGCCTCAGATCTAACGCCACCATTTCATCAGAAACCACTTCAGGTTCCAGTGTGGCTTTGTGCTTCAGACCTGCGACCACAAGAGGGAGACAGACCTCACACACACACACACACACACACACACGCACACACACCCCCACACACACACACACACACACACACTTCTTCTCTCTTCCACATCTGAATCTGTGCCTAAATGTGGAAGAAGAGAGATCTCAGTAGTAAAGACTAAATAGCTTATTGCCTTGAGGAAGCAGATCAGTGATGTATTTCTTTAAATTTGGGGCAAAAAGATTTTTTCATTTGTTAGAGGGGCCAACCAAAGATGTATTAATTAATGTAATATCTATATATCTTGCATTAGAGACGGTATCTTCTGGCATCTTTGGCCTCATTACTTCTGAAGCACCAACATTCTCATTGAAATTCAGAAATCATAACTTTTAAAGTCAAGTCATTGTTTTCTCCTCTCACAGCAGCTTGTCGCTACATTCAAATTAGAAATCTGAATATACTTGAGTGCAAAATAACTCAGCTACAGTCATTTTTTATGTCATATGTTTTTAGAGGAATGTGGATGGATCTGCTGAAGCAGGTGGGTCTCCGGCAACAACAAAATACTAAAGCTTAGGATTGGTTTTCCACCAACAGCTAAACTTTTGGAGCTCATGTGGACCTGCAAAAAAACCAAGATGCAACATGACCGTGAGCAACGTGTGGATGGGGTGGGGGTGGGGATGCTGGGATAGATAGAAAAGGGGGGTCTGGAGCCCCGTGTTTCATAGTCTGTCCGTGTGCACTGCGGATCAATAATCATATCATGATATCACCAATATCTCAATGAAATGCGGGTGTGAAAAAGGCTCTTGAGAGGGCTGCTAAAAGAGAGGAAAGGAGTAAAAAACCAACCTGCTGCAGCTCGCACACTGTGGGAAACACGCCGAAGCCTGAAACGTCTGAGGAGCGGGGTCCTCTCTGGCCGCCCAGTCGCTGAAAAGGGTTCGAGAGGTCACGGCAGGAGAGTAAACAGTGGCATGATGACCTTTGGGGGGTGGGGGTCAGAGGTCACTCTCAAGATTATTAGAACAATATGTGGGGCTCTGTTCGTGTGGAGAATAACTGAGAAGCACATTCAGTATTTTTGGACATATTAGTTTGTAGTTTATTCATTAATAACCACGCTAGACATTGTGTCTCTGAGAGGTTAATGTCAATCCAACGTTTCGATCCAGAGTGAAATATCTTCACAGATTATTGGATGGGTTGACATGATATTTGGTCATTCAGCTCTATAAGAGAAATGCAAACAAAGAATGATAATGACTGTGCAACTAGAGTATGAACGAGTATTAAATACTCAAAGAGCTGCTAGTACACAAGGCTTCTGGACTCATTTACGCATGACTGTTGTGTAATTTATTTCTTGGGTGAAGAAGGAACATAAACGTTGGTGTAATTTGTTTTCATTTCTAATTCATGGTACATACTATGACTTTCTTTATTATGTGTTATTGGTAAATTGGTAGCTATAATTGTTTTCCCTTATTTGCTTTTCATCCTCGAAGATGAGATGTTTTTAAAACTTTGCCGTTTGTGTTCTCTTGGTTGTGACATTACCGACAGCACCTGAAGGCTGCACTGCCAGGAGTCAATCACAAAGTGAACACTGCGCATGCTCCCGGAGCATCTTCCCACTGCTCGGCATGGTGAGATCCGCTGCAGGGCCGGTGCTGACGCGCAGAAAACCATCTTTTCGACGCATTTTTGCAGAGCAAATGTCCGGGCTGTGCAGAGTATGTGATGACTTTTTAACTCTGCAGGTTATCACCTGACCTCCTCCTCCTCCTCCTCCTCCTCCCCCTCCCCCCCGGACACCTTAAGGAGGAGGGAGTGGTGGTGGATGCAGCCTTATCAATAGCAGGTTGCCTCAGAAGATCCGGTTCAAACTAGTTCTGCTCGGCTATGTATGCGACTGTGGCTCTGCTCGGTGCTCCACACTTCCACAAAGAACCACAAAATATGCTTTTAAATGTTTCAGACTTAATATTAAAACATGAACTCTTGTTTTCTTAATTACGCTGCCAATGACATATTTATTGCATAACACTGATGAAGGGATTTCACCATGTGGCAGTGCGTAATAACGAGGCTGCAGACGTTATTGGAAGAATTGTATTTGTTACCAATATGAACACATGGTCTAACCATTGCATCCTTATATGTATATTATTACCATCTTTGACTGGTGGTGAAACTATTGTCATTACCTGTAAATGTCAACAGTTGCCTCATCATTATATCGAAGCTGTCATTAATCATAGCTGCACTTTTGTTCATGAGACCTTAAATGTATGATAACAGTCGCGGTGAATTACAGGGAGTGTCGGGGGGGAACAACAAAGGGCCGGATGCAGCATCATATCGCCGCCACGGTCGCGCGTAAAAGCCGCTATATTGTCGTCGCTGGAGCTCAGTGAACGGTGCAGGTCGCCGAACAAATGGGCTAAATGTGGGGGGGCTTAAGATGCGCAGTAAAAGGCGAGATATAATCTCCATGTGGAGACTGCTGTGGGACGGCAGCAGGGTGACAAAGCGGAGGGAAGCCGCGGAGGAATCACTGCAGTGCAGCAGAGACTGTCAGTCAACACGCAGAGGAGGCTGGTGCGCCCCGCAGACATTAGCGCAACTACCAGCCGAATTTAACAAAACAAATGTCGTTTTATTGTCGATTCATATCAGGGTATGCATCTTGATGTATGGATCTTTTCCACCCACTCATTGTCTCAGTCTGCGCATCGATGGGACGCATCTCAAGGCAACAAAAAAATCAAACCTTAAATGTAATTATAAACCCACATTACAAGCTTCGATTATGATTATGAGCAGCGCGAGGACGTTTCCTAAGCTCTAGACGCCCCGCATCGCCCCCGCTTTACCATGCGCGCGCCTTTGTGCATGGGTCCGGGTATACCTCAAAAAACCGGTGGATCCTCCTCACTAGAAAGACACTATGGAGACAAACCTGTTTCAGAAACAACCACCCCACGCAAATCTCGCCATCACACCCCCTTCTCGTGGGGCTACACGTCCTCACAATGCACTATACTTCGCCGGGCACGCATCACGCCTGCTCAGATGCAGAGAGAGGGAGAGAGAGAGAGAGAGAGAGAGAGAGAGAGAGAGAGAGGGCGGCGGTGTCCGTCTCTCCCTCCTCCATCAGCATTTAACGGCGCACCGCGTCCACCAATCTGTGGAGTGAGAGGACCACCCCAACCCCTGAACCTGAATCCACCCAACCCTGCCTGCTTATAAATACGGCTTGAATCACGCCGGCAAGTCTTGGTCGTCAGAAACGCTCAGGGTTGCGGCAGAACATCCCCCTTTCGTCTTAACCCCCCCCTTTCATCGTTTCTCTGTTTTTTAAGACAATCTCACGCATCATCCATTTTCACTCCCACACTCTCCCCCACTTTTATTGTTTCTTCTTCCCCGAACTGTAGTGGTTTTTGCGGCCAGTTTGCATGCATTTTTCGTCTCCCAAAATGGTTTGCGAGACTAAAATTGTTGCGGACGAACACGATGCTATACCTGGGACCAAAAAAGAGTCGATGATGTGGAGCTCTCCTCCGTCCAGCGCGGCTATGAACGCAGCCGAGGCGAAGGATGTGAGGAAAGACGCGGTTTTTATCCGCGAGTTCGATTGCGGGGATCAGGAGGAGGTGCGGCGCATCTTTTACGAGGGTATAATGGAGAGGATACCCAATTCGGCGTTTAGGGCGATCAGGCAGCAGCCCAAGACCCAGTTTTTATATGCTCTTCTGACAGGTAAGTGCCCTCATCTTCTTGCATCGCGCATCCTACACCGGCTTATTTATTCCCATGTTATAGCTTTCACACCCACTTTTCCAACCCTGAAGAAAACGTCAACATAAGCCCGAACATGAATTATGTATCTACGAGTTGTTATAGGAGTCTCTGTTGCGCATTCATTTGATGGTTTGCATTCTAATGTGATTTATTTGAGCCACCAAAATAAAATTCAACGTGTCTCTGCACCATCCGGCCCTGTAGGCGACGCATAAATTAAGTTGAAATCCGTGACTTTGAACAATCTGACGGCGCACACCGGCATGTTGCTCATCTTGCAACAAAAGGCATGGCCAGCTCGCATGGTGCACGTGTATAACCGGCGGCCCCGCGCTGATGATGTGATGACATGCCGGTGTGCCGTGAATGAACGAGTGAATGAATGTGAGGATTGGCCCACTGCGCGCACGTACCCAAAAAGCACTCCCCTCCGCGCAACCCCTCCGCCTCTGCACCAGTCATGCACTGATATCGTTTGGCTTTTGTTGACGTTGTCCGGCGCAGATTATTAAAGCCACCGTGTAATCGTGACCGGTTGCCGTTACCGCACGTTGAAAATCTAACAAGCTCGAGATCTTTTGGCCGTTAAAAACAGCGGCTTACTGGGTTAATTTGGCGTTAATTAGGCCGCAAGACCCAAAACACGACAGTCATGCCTGTAACCCCCCCCCAACAAATGATATTCAATGAGTCTTAAGTCTCCATTGAGTCTCCATCTTCTACATTTCAGGCTGATGTTTCTCACGCGCTGGAGTAAACTAACGAGCCTACTGTGTTATTGCATGCACACGCAACAACACGCTATGCAGCATCCAGCCTGCTTGTGCGTGTGTGTTCCACTGTGCGCCCCCCAGCGTTACATCCCCCTAATGACACTAATGTCACTTAACGCTTTGATGAATTCTATTCTAACGTGTACTCTCTGGTGAAAGTTCCTACATGTTGTGTTCCTGCAGCTATACTAATGTGCCTTACTTCACAGTTTGTTTGTCACAGATTTTGTTTCACTTATTGATGCATTACAAATGTCATATTGCCTCTTTTTCATTTCTGTGTCTGTGTGGGTGTCAAATTCCGCCAAAATCAAACATGTGATTCTCTTTTCTGACAGGTTTCGTTTATTTTTCTTCCATTTCTCCATAGTAATGTGCTTTTTCGTGACCAAATCCGTCACGCTGACCTGTTGTGCGCCCCTCATTCTCATGGGCGCGCGCTTCTACTACAGCAGGACAGTTATCCACAGCTATCTGGACTGTGCCCTGCACACGGACATGGCTGACATAGAGGCTTATTACATGACACCCACAGGTAAGACGAGGGAGAGACGCGTCGCTGTTCTCCCCTGTAGTGTGACTAAAGAGATAAACTGTCTGGTTTGTCGGTCGGCAACGCTCCACCACCGGTGTTTACTTTAAAAGGGAATCACTGTAAAAACAAAGTTAGCGCTCGTAACTTTGCTGCAGCTCAAAAGATAAAAGACAACAAAACACCCGAATAACTATGTGACTTACAGCTACTTGAAACAGTAAAAGTAGCTGAGTCTGGAGCAGGCAAACCAGAGGCAACTCATCAAATATGCAGGTCCTCTCTCTGCTTTCCTTCTCCTCCACCCCGCCTCTTTCTCCTCTTCTTCCCCCACTTGCATCCTCTCTGAGCTCCACTTGGTCACGGGCAGGGAGGAGGAGGAGGAGGAGGGGTTGCATCGCAGGGCTATTGATCGCACAGAGGAAACTGCTGATACACTTTCTGCAGTACACTTGGTGTCGGCAAGGCTCATTTCCTCCACTGAAGCTTCTAATTGGAAAAAAAAATCAATCCACCTCTGGTGTCATCTCAAACTATTCGTTCTCTCCAGGAGGCGAGTTATGGGCGTGAGCGACTTCCGACCATAAAACCACACGACGCACTGCCCCGTAGCTTCTTGGACACATGTATCCCCTGTTAACCTAAACCACGTGGCCAATATAAAAAGCAGGTGTTATTTAAGCCACTCAATTCCTCCCCCCATTGTCTCTCTCGCTCTCTCTCTTTCTCTGACATTGTGCCCTCTGGCCTGGTAGTCCACTGGCCTACACAATTGCAATTTAGCATTCCCATTATTGCTGCATGGCCGAGATGGTTTAGAGGGGGTCAGGCACCACCGCTCCTGGACAATGCTAATGATTATATCCGTGCAAACTGAATGGGCCCCCGGGGGACCGACACCTGGGCACCGGCCTGCCGTCCCGATGGAGAGGCATCGCTCACGTCACCGTCATTTATCGTGGTGTGTGATGAGTGCACTGTGTACACGTAGGAGTGCGAGGCCCTGAAACATTTCCTCCATCAGCTTCGTATTTCATGAGGTGGGGGGTCCCACATGAACACACGGTTTTCTACCCAAAAATAGAACCGTTTTGGTTATTTTTTCATTTGAGATTGCTGTTTTTCCTCCGCGCTTTTCTCAAATGTAAACGTTGCAAACTACGTCAAAAGTGCTGACAGTGTTTACCTGAGGGGGAACCGGAGGGTGGGCGCTACACGCTTGTGCATCGACGCTGTGATGGCAGGTCACACACACTTTGTAATCATATATATTTAAAGTAGAGAGAAAAACGTATTTGAAACCAAAGCTTTCAGAGCCTTTAAGCTTGTCAGAGGAAAACACAACTAAGGGGTCTTTAAAATGAAGCAGGAAATCCTCCTGTCATCTTTTAGCTTGCTAGCAGTAGAAAAAGAGAAAAGGCTGATTCATAGGAAACAGCTGAGCATGGGTATGACAATCAGTCTCATATCGTACCGTCTAGCATCAGATATAAAAGGCTACTCTGGGTATCGGCTTTGTAAACAAGCTTCCATTACAACAAGTAGCTAAGTTAGCTAATCAGCTAGCACGGACCGTCTATTTAAAGGTGTGTGTGTGTGTGAGGGTATGACAGGGAACATCTGGGAGTTTGTGTATGAAAAAGTTTCTGCGAGGAAGCAAAATAAGGACTTTGTGTAGGGTGTGAATGTGTGTGGGGCATTGTTTTTTAATCAGTGTTTAATAACCGAGATGTCTTGGTGTGGTGGATGATCAATAATATTACAGAATATAAATATTGCACAGCTGCAACCCTGCAGTTAATCAACTGGAAGGAGAAACGCTACTTTAAATGCAGAGAAGAAGAGAGATTTATAGACAGGGAGGGAAAGAGGATGCTTGTGTAGCCGCTCTTTACACGTTTGACGGTTAAACAAAATGTGAATTGAATAAGCGTTAGTTTAATAAGTGGACACTGACCACAGACTGCTTTGGTAACAGAAGAGGTCCAACTGAGCTGACTGGAGCCACGTATCCTTGCACACATGGAACGACTGCACCGATCAATACTCTTATCTCCTCCTCTGTGTGTGTGTGTGTGTGTTGTGATCACTCACTCTGCTGCCACTTACAACCAGCTGTCACCCCTTTCATTTGCCACATTATAAAGTGTGTGTGTGTGTGTGTGTGCGCGTGTAGGCAGAGAGGCTGTAAGGCAAACTGAACAAACAATGGCTGGAAGTATAAATGTACATGGCTGTTGAAGAAAAGATAAAGCTTGTGTCTTTAACAAAAACAGGCGCTGCAATGATTTAATTGATTCATATTGAATTTAACTTTCAAAGCTCAGTTTCAAACTACTAACTGCTAAAAGTCCAGTATTCAAATTCAACAGTCCAATAAGTGTTCGACGAATTCAAACTGATGCAATTAAAACACATCTGCTGGCACGAACCTCTTTGTACACTCTGACTCCTCCTCCTTTCCATCCATCTTTTCGCTGTCCTTCCTTGGTGGAGATGAACCAACGATGACTCAGTCAGGCAGTCGATATGTCCTCCAACAACTACAGCGCATTGGCTGAAAGAAACCGTAAATACAGATTAAATACTTTTCAACTGAAGGGCTGTTTTCTTATTTAGGAAACTAAAGCAAAAAGACGTATTTTATCTGTGAGCCTCTGACCACACATGTACACATTTATTTATCCATATAGATATGTTATCAGACAAACATGAAGATCTCATTTTATTACACTAAATGTCACAATTTCGGCTGATCAGCCTGTGCGAACTGTGGTAAACAAAGCCAAATCAGATGCTGGTCTTTGGCTTTGTGCCAAGCTCGACTCCCATCTGGAGGATTGGAGTCAGCGGTCCTGATAAAACATGATTTAGGGTTTTTAATCTGAAGAAGCTCGGGGCGGACGGGCGAGCTGACTTTGTAGACGTGTGGGGCTACAGAAGCTCACGTTGTTCTCTCACTAAGAAGCTGAAATATTGAAGTCTGCCTCTGGTTCAGACACTTTCCAGGCAACAGAAACAAACTCCAGCTTTGTGAACGCGATCGCTTACGGCACCTTTTACGCTCGTGTTCATCTGCACCAGCGGCTTTCTCATTGTGTCACGAGGCCTGGTTCATGTCAGCGCTCATTGCATCAAACCGTGTTCACAGGGCTCCGCTCGCTCCTCCCATAGGAAGTGAATGTCGGGGTAACAGCCACCATTACCAAAACCCTCAATCACTTAAGCCCATAAGGGCCTGAGGCATTTAAAAACAGCTAAGGAGGAGGTCTCCCCTCATGTTCACACCTCCCTCCCTCACACTCTTCACTTGCTCAGTCACCATAGGTCACTCTGAAGCAGCTTAGTGCCTAAAAAGTGAATGTAATTTAATGAGGGCGACACCAGACTCTGAGACAAATCCTCCCCGGATTTGATACCCACTCAGTAATACTGTCTGTTTAATGAGGCGCCGCGACCACTGCAGGGTCTCATCAACGCAGGCGACATTATCAAACCTGCCGGCCAGTCTCATGGTGTGTGTGTGTGGGTGTGTGTGTGTGGGTGGAATGAGTTTGCGCTCGCTCTGTTCCAGGGGAGCGAGCAGCTTCCTCCACCGGTACCTGCTGTGCTTATTTTAGAACGACAGAGAGAGGCAGACAGAGAGAGAGAGAGAATGAGGGGAGAGAGAGAGAGACAGAGAGAGAGATTGAAATGTGTGGAGGGAGGGAGGATGAGTGTCAGATAGAAAACGAGGGCATATACAGTATATATATATATATATATATTTTCGTGTGTGTGTGTGATAAAGAAAGAGACAAACAGTTTGCAGGTTAGCACACACACAAAGGGATTTCCTGACTCCTCAACACCTCATATTAATAAGGCATCCTTCTTTCCTTTCCTATCCCTCCCTCCCTCCTGTTTGAGCCACAGCCCTTTCTTTCTCTCTCCCACCTGTATCGCTGCTCCTCGTCCTCCTGTTACTCCTCTTCCTCTCCATTTCTCATCTACGCTGAGGGTGCTGCAGTGGCCAACTGGGTTTCATTCGTTCATTCATCAGTGGCAGCAAACAATCACACTACTAATGTTTTACGCTGTAGTCACAAAGGTTAAATTAACACAGATATTATTGTACACACACAAACTATTTCATTCACAGAAAACTACAATTAAGGGCTGAAACTATCAGTCAATTAGACTCCATCAGAAAACCCTTTATCAGCTTTGATAATAATCAATTAGAGGATCGTTTGACATTTGGGAAATATGCTTATTCTTTTTCTGGCGTAGAGTTGGAGATGAGAAGCTCGACACATCTGTTGTGTTTGCAGTCAGTTAGCTTTAGCTTAGCATCAAGACTGGAAACGGGAGGAAACTATCCGTGTTGTCTTTTACGTCACTGGTTGAGTCGGCTGTTCCCAGTCTGTACATGCTGAGGAACTGGAGAACTCACCAGTCCATCACTTTAGCGGTCCGCTGCCAGAACACGAACACGTTTGCCTCTCTCGTCTATTCAGCGTTTTGGACGAAGTGGAGCCGATCATTAATAATGCATCGCAGTGTCACATCCCTCCGCCTTTGTTTTCTCGTTCTGCTTAAATCAATAACGTAACAAAGACACCCGTCAGAAAGAGCAGATGACGCGTCAACGGGCAGCGTCATTAATTGCGGCATTGTGCATTTTCTCACTACCGTGACGGACCAATCAGCGAGCCGGATTACTTGTGTGTGTCCTCTATGGATTAGACACGATTCCTGCAGTTCAAGCGAAAACCTGCTCGGTCTTGATTTACACAGGGAATCTGGACGTAATAGGTTAGAGTCACATTTTGCATGTTGGTGTTGAGGCCCAGCCTGATTGATGGCCTGAAAGGGGGGGGGGGGGGGGGGGGGAGGGGGGGGGAGAGGGGGGGTAGCAGCCATGTGAACAATGGCATGCACACAGTAAAGTGTAGCATGTGTGTAAAGTGTGGACATGCTTGCATACAAAACAAGCGAACGTGCGTGGATGCGTTGATGGG